AAACTTAGGCATGGCAATTATTCTTTTTTATGTTCAGTAACAAATAAAACATATACATATATATAAAAAATGAATAGGGACTGTTGAGGAAGGGCAGAAATGAAGGCTGAGGAAAACAAAATGGGTGAATTGAAAATGTGAGAGTCTGCGAAGTGGATTCTACCTCTTAGGATTTCATTGTCTCACAGATCAGGTGTCAGCTCAGACCAGAACTTATCCAAAAATAATTTCCAAGCATAAAGCTGCCTCTTCAGAAGCAAAGCTATGCAAATAACTACCACTGGCCATCAACTGCCATTTCAGCTTTTGGAATTACAACTAAAATTTTTACTTAAAAAAAATGAAATACTAAATCAATATCCAAATGACATTTTTTATACCTTCCTCCAGACCACCCAAGTATAGCTGGAATGATGAATAAAGCATGCATGGAAAACAGAAACAACCACCTTCTGCTTTTAAAATATGGCATTTTAAATGAGTGCATAGAGTCTTGCTCTTAAGGCATTCATTCTTTTATGGGTTCCACTCACAGGTCCAAGAAGGCAATAGTTTGCTGACAGACCTGAAGGAATAACTGGAGGCAGAGGTTTCTCAGGCAGGAAAACAACCACCACTCATGAAGATTCATTTTCCACCAGAAACAAAGAGAAATAGAACCACCACCATGTCACTTCCTTGAGCCTGACAGACATTATTAATGAGGGTAAATATGAATGCACAAAATAAATCATTAATTTCTAAATTTATGGCAAGATCTGACCATGAAGCAGTGGGACAATTGCTAGGTTGATCAAAAGATTTTCTTCATCTTGGAAAGCTTTTTACGAGAACTAATACCTTCTCCAAGCAGACTGTATTTCCTCCTCTCTCCTTCTGATTCTCTGCTTTTAATTGTCAGTAGAAAGATGATAAGTTGAATCAGGTTTTCTGGATGACTACAGTTGTACAGATGGTGAACAAACAGATGTTCTCAAACAGAACATCCTTCTCTAACAACTTGGAAACAACCACTGCTGCTTAAACTATGCCACATACAATAAAAATCTGTTAAACCATACATACCTCAAGTATTCAGTAAATATTAAGTAGAAAAACAAAAACAAGAGAAGGTCTACCATATGTGGACTATCCATCATTTATTGGTAGAGAAACTTGTATCAGGATTTTAAAGTCATTTATAAAAGCAAGAGCAAAAGTAAAGCATTAGGTTGAGAGCAGGGATTTAGGCAGAGGAATACTGAGGTTAGTAACAAAACTTCAGGTAGCCTGTCACCTTATAGACTGGTTCAGACTCCCTTGTACAATACATGTGGAAACAAAGTGTCTCAACAGCCATCAAGCTGAGAGGAGCTACTCCAATATACCTATTAAATTGGGGACCATGGAAGGCAAGGTGAGAGAATGACTATTCATCCTGGCAGAGTACATGCTTAAAATGGACACTGAGCAGCTCTTGGTTCTCCAGTGTGCTTGCGCAGAAGTCCTTCAGAAATGCAGGAATGGGGGCTCTTTATTAGAAGGTATTTCAGGTTCTGTAAAGTAAGAGGGCAGCTGCATGGGGGGGGAGGGCGGGATTCTTTATGGGGATGATACCTGAAAGTTGGATAGTAGTGTTTAAATAAACTGTCTCCTAAACATACTGTCTACAAGGTTCACTTGCGGTCTTAGTCCTTAATTTATAAATTCTTTGTTCAAGTGTTAAATTTTCACTTGATTTGAGCTACGAACTGTTATTTTTAGCTGATTGTTTTACACAAGACATCCTTTTTCCATATTCTGTGACTAACATTTTGAATAACATAGTGCAGTTCAGTTCCCTGATTGCACATAGCTGTAATAAACTGGCCTGATATAAATGTGATTAAAATTAAACCCATTCTGTATTCAGTGTGATTTTAAGTGTTGCTTAGGTATGCATTTCCTTCCCAATGCACCTAACCCAACTTCTGCTGTTGCCCAAAGTTTGACTGAGTTCAAATAATCTAAATAAAAATCTGGTTTATAATTCAGCAAGTTAATTATGAACAGACTTCTACATGCTCCCACTGGCTCAAATCTTGGTTTGACCCAGGGTTTTAAAAAGTAAGACAACTATAGGAGTATGTAGTGGATAAAGCGAAACAAAAGAAAAAATATGCAACTGGGGAGAAGAAGTCAAAAACTCCAGTAATATCCTGTGCCTAGGAAGTAATCTTGAGTATTATTAAAAAGACAACACTGTAACTTAATTCAACAGGAAAAAAAGAATAAGTGAAAGAAAAAGCTTACTTTATTTCTTATCACAACAAAATTAGTCCCAGCGCTGGTTGTCAGATTATCCGGAGTGAGAGTCAAGCACTGTAGCCTAATGTAACTTGAACTAATCTTATACAGTGCTGTGGAATAACCATAAATTACTGAGAGCCTGCGAATGGTCACCTCATGAACTGCAAAGGGGTTTCTTAATTTCATTCTGGTTTTGTGTCTGAACTCCATTCCTTTCACATCCTGTTTTTCTAATCTGTGGAAAACGACATGAGAATTATACCTTGTGTATTTCACAAAGCCTGTTACTCTGTCATACCTGGCCTGCAGAATAATAACCCAGCATCACATGAGAGGGGCTGCCAGATGCAGCAACGTTTTATTGCCATTTGAAAAGATAGTTTATGACAGACCTAGAAGATTTAAGTGAATGCTGTATCCTGAAAGTAAGAAGACTTTTCATCTCAGAAGTTAACTTTGTTTATTGTAATACTTGTGCCTGAAAAAGGACATATACAATCTGTATATGAGTCCCACTGAATGTGAGTTTTTGGAAGCTTGTCACATCAAGCCTAATTTCACATAATTTCAGTACATTATGTTGCTTTTGTGGACATGTTTTCTTAAAAAGATCTTTAAAAAAATAATTACCTGGTTCCAGCCTCTAAATTGCTGTGGGAGCAGTGTTCTCTGCCTTCTCCCCTTGCTGAATACCAGTGTCGATGAATAGGAGGAGACTGAACATGTCCTTCAACACCACCAGACAGAGGTGGAGGGGAGCAGGCGATGTTCAGAGGACCCAGCAAGGCTGGAGGAACAGGCTGACAGGAACTGCATAAAATTCAACCAGGACATGCCCTTCAGTGGAGCTGGCAACCCTGCACCAGAACAGGCTGAGGATTGTCTGACTGGCTGGAGAGCAGCTCTGCTGTAACAAACATGGGGCCTTAGTAGGCAGCAGCAAAGTCTACAAGATACAGGGCTTTATCAACAGGGGTCAGGCAGTAAATTGAATGAAAGGGTTATCTAAGCTCAGGTAGATCACACTTATTAAGTCGCACATTGATGCTGCTTCTAGTTATGGCTGTCCTAATACGAGAAAGGTATTGAAACCTTCTGATGTGTTCAGGAGACAACAGACAGAATGGTGGGGGGCTGGAGCACCTGACCTGAGAAGAGAGGCTGGAGACCTGGGTTTGTCCAGCCCTGGGGTCCCAAAAGCAGCACACAGTATGTGAGAGGATGGCAGCAAGGAGCAGGAGTCATGCTCTCTGTAGAGGTGCACATCCAAGAAACAACAGACAGAGGTCATAAGCAGTGGTGGTCTTAGCCTTTCCTTCTATACACTTTCTGTGACTTGCTGTCAGAATCCTCAAGTCTAATCCACTCTCCCTTGATTTACTAAGCCTGCCCAAGCTCCTGATACTTTCCTAGCCTTTGTGTCCCTATGATCAGTTACTGGCTCTTTCTAACCTTAAGCCTTCAGCAGTCATCCTACCTTTCTCTGGCTCAGTTCCCTTTGGCTAATTTCCAAATCACTGTTTGTATCTCATTGGCTCATGCTAATTGCCTGCTAAAAATGTACTTGTGTTCTACAACATGTGGTGATATTGCACACACTACTGTCTTTGAAGGTCTCATTTTCCTTAACGGCCTCCTCTTCAGAGCCATCAAAAGTTTTCCTTGTAGAAGATAATAAAAAGTCAATCAACCTTTAAAGTGAGCCTTCTTTCTTTCTCCCAAAGTAAATTCCACATTCATGTTTTTGCTTCTTACCTGCTTAACTTGCACTCTGAGCTTGTTTAGCACTCTTACAGCTTTTCCTGTTTATCCCTTAAGCTCTTAGCATTTAAGAAAAAAATTCCTAGGGATTTCATTTCCCTTCCACTCAGGTTATATTTTTTTTTTTTTTGTACTGTGTCTTGACAACATTTTGAAACAAGTTGGAGCCAAAAGCATAAACTCAATTTCAAAAATTAAACTGATACTTATACTTTTAGACAAAATCTTGCATGTCATTTTTTTCCCGTTAAGAGATCTAGCCCAGGTTAAAAATAAATAGTTCAAGTAGTGATAAAACCAAAGGTGCTATGTGAAACTAGAATGCATTAGTGTGTCCTAATCCATAAAGGTACACTTAATTTTACCTCAGTTTTGAGGAAAGCCACTGAAAGGTTTAAACACAAGTGAAAGCAGTGGCACAACTCATTCAATTTGGATTTAAATCTAAATCTACTGCTTTTAATAGCAGTAGTTATAAGGGAGAAGGTTAAGCTATCATAAAATATACATCTGGGGATTAAACTACCCACTAATGTCCCCACATTAATTATACAAATAGCTCTATAGAGCTCCTTTTGGTCAGGCACATTCAGTGCTCCAGAGGTAAACCACTATAGGTATTATTACACCAACCATCATAATGTAATGAAGTTTGCTCCCTTCATTAACTTAAGACATGATTTTTTTCTGAATGATTTACAGGCAAGTGGTGATATCTGTGTGGCTATCCTACAAGAATATACACTCAAGGAATTAGAGAAAAAGGTCAGCACTGGTCCAGTGCTAATTTTGCAACTTCCTTTCAAGCTGTTGTACTGAAACCTCATAGCAGCATAGTGCTCTTTTTGTCAAGTTCAGCTTTCTGTCTGGGTTGTGAGGTCCTGGCTAGCTAGAAGCAAGGTGGACACTTCTGCATGAAAATGAGTTGGTTTCACTGATCACTGAAATGTCGACTTTGCTCAGGAACATGAGAGTTTACATTTCCTAGGTAATGGGCACCAAAACCCCTGAAAACTGGGATAAAATTATATGCAATTTTTATGGTGCAGGCCTATGGAGCCATTTATAAAAATAAGCTGGGTTTTATATGATTGGTAACAAAAATACATAAAAATGTTGTTTGCCCCATATATTGGGAAATATCCTGTCTTGGCACTCTGCAGCTGGTGAGTCATAATTTTACAGTTTTTACTAAAATAAAAATGAAATTAAAAAGTCCACATTTTCAAAGAAGTACAGAAACATAATATTTATAGAAGATCATAAACAAGTACTCTGTTAATAGCTGCTGAACTTTGTTTAAAGAATAACAGACTAACATTTCCAAAGTACTCTTTGCTGAGATTGAACAGGATTTTATTCAAACTGTTGCGGTAACTAATGAAAAACAAATGAGATTTCCAAACAGTTTTGACTGTTAGGGGTGTGATGGTAATATCATTGCTTTTTGCACTTACAGCTGCTGCTTACACTGAAACTACCAATTTAAAACATAATGTCATTTTATACTTGAACTCTTGATCTGCAATACAGGAAGGGCCAGGCATATTTAACCCAGACTGGAACCAGTCTGATGCAACTGTTTTGCTCTTGTGCATGAAGCTTCTTCAGACTCCAAACTTATTTAAACCTCTGAGCAGGATCACAGACTGCTGCCAGATTTAGAATTCTTTCTTGCAAAAAAGTAACACCGCACACCTGAGAGGACAATGCTCACAGTAATTATAGTCAGAGTGCTTCTTGTGCTTGTCCTACCCTGCTAGTTTGCTTTCCCCTTCAGCTGCATCTCTAGTTTGGGGCAGAGACTGTGCAGCTCTCCGAGCCTGAAAAGCCATCGATGTCTTCTGGGAGTTGTAGCTCATCAGGAGAGGCCTAATTCATCAGAGAGAAAAAGATATGAACAGCTGAACTAAACCTTATAAGGCATTGTTAATACACCTAAACAGAAATTGTAATGAAACAGAAATATTTTTATGGTCAAAATTTTCATTTTGCTACCGATGTCAGAATTTTCCCAAAATCCCCACATTATGCCTAACGTTAACTTGTATTCAAACAAATGTCAGCATTTTCCACATATAAATATTTTCTAGGTTATTAAAAAAAAATACTTAATACCTTATAGAAGATTAAAGAAAAACAAGTGAAAAAGCACCAGTAGCTGATATAACATCATCTATATTGCAAAAGGTGGACAAAGCAAAATATCCATTTTGATGAACTGAAGAGCCTGATGTCATCTTGCTATCTCTGTATTATTAAATTGCCAGGTAGTTTTATTTTTCCTGCAGATAGCTCTGGCAAGTGTTCAGATTTTTTTTAGCCAAACGGAAATAACTGGAAAATGGCCCTTCTAGATCATAAACTATTATAATTATTGGTGTCCATTGTACAGCTTAGGTAGCATCAAGAATCCAAATGAGTTTGAATACTGAATTTCAGACACTTCAAATACACTGTTTGAAATGTGAACCAGCCACTGCTTTAGGAGAACTGAATTATTTGTTATTAAAGCCAGTAGGAGTTTATCACTCACATTAATGGAGTCAAATTTCAACTACAACTTTGAAAACCAAAAAAAGAACAACCAATCAAAAAATACTTGGGGGTGGAAGAGACAACAAAATAAACAAAAACCAACCAACCAAACAAACAAAAGCCATCAAAGTGAGACACTTTGAAGGTTTTAGATAAAAGTTCAGGAGATAAACATCATAGGTTGTTGAAAGGATAACTGATCCCTGAGATTAGCAAGTCTGTTTTGTTTTGGCTGTGTGTGTTAAAGCTGCAGTAGGAAGTTAACAAGATCATACAATATTTTTCATGTATTGTTCTGCAAATCAGGGTACATTTAGATTTCATATGTTGCCCTGCAGATGTCACTTGGTCTTTCCAAATTCTCAGTACAATCCTTGCATTGATTTATAGTTGCCATAAACATTTTTTGAAGGAGGGCAGATGTAACCACACAGACCTCCACTACTAGTTAGATGGGGGCTGCATCTACTGCTGCAGACAGATGTGCTCCATTGGAAAAAAAACTTAGCCATGTTGCAGTACTAAACTTTGACATAATCCAAAGATTTTAAAAACACCTGTTTTACATACCTCTGAGCAAAGCTATATTTAAAAGAAACACAAATCATATAAAGGAAGGGCTAAAAACCATAGTAACTTTACTCTTTCTTGGACATTAACAGTGAGGAGAGTGTTTAGCAGAACATGAAGTGTATTCATACCTCAAGTTTTTAAGCATGTTTTTCCTCCTCTAGTGTTGTATCTGAATTTCCATGTAACAGTTCAGATGGAAGGAATGATGATAACTTAGAAGAATTAGAGGATGTAATTAGCCTGCCCTGCTTCAGCCACTGAATATTTTGATGATACAGTGTTAATACCAATTGAATGGTGTATTTGTATGTAAGGGAGCTAAACTCAAAGTCTAACCCAAATTATAGCTGGACTTATTACTTGAGTTATACCACTGGGCATGCTGCATACAGAAACGACTCTGTGAAAGACCCAGGGCAAAGAAATCCTGCTTTATAGTGCATATAATCGGAAAAGTAAGGAAAGAAAATTTAAACTGTTATTTAAACAAGCCTTATTCCAATTACTACTTTCCTCTCTGTCGGGGCCAATTATTCTCACTTTAGACATGACTAGCATTTCTAGAACCCATTTTTTATATTTTTTTACAATGTATAGAGTGCCACACAGTCACTTTGAAATGCTGAAAAACAAATTAAAGTACACAGGAAAAGGAGACTTACTAAACTTAAAGATATCCTCTTATTTTGTCATACTGAGACACATTAAAATACATAAGGATTTTACAAGCAGTAAAGTGTTTTGGACATGCGTTTACTTTTACCTCTTAAAGTAACAGTGAGACAAATTTGAAAACCAGAGCATTTCTTCCCTAGAATGTGTGCCAGACAGGAAAGCAAGTACAGGAATGTTTCCTTTCTTGTTCAGAAAAAAAACCCTTAAAATAAATGTATTGGTTATGAAATGAATATGATGTGCTAATTACAATGTCAGATCACTGATACTCTAGTTTAGGAGCCTCCATTTCAGGAACAGACAGAATGAAAAGAAATAAAATAAGTAGTCAAAACCTGAAAGTTCATTTTTGACTTGGTTAAAATGAGAAAAAGTTAATTTTTTTCTTAACATGGCATAATACAATCAGTAATTTGTATTGATCCCAGACTTACCAACTAGAAAACAGGGGGGCTGTCTTTTGGATAGCAGATCAGGGACAGCTCACAGTTGCCCACAGCTTTCTTGTTTGCAGCAGACACAGTTGCGTGGCACTGTTATTAACCAATGAGAATAGAAAATTTCCAAAACTATAGGTGCCTGGAGATCTTGCTTTGCTCTGTTTCTCTCACTTATCTGACTTGGGCAGACCAGGCGTGCATAAATGAACCTGCGTTCCAAAGGACTCCTTCATTGCACTCCATCCTGCAGGCAAGAAATACAACAGGAAGGAAGATTTACTATATTTTATTTTCATGAATAAAAAGCACAGATTTGACACTTGTTGCTGCAAGTTTTTATCCCAAAGGCCTCCAAAATAATTTGATCTTATTTTGCCATTCCTTGTTCATTTGCATTAGTAATGGAAGAGCTGTCAATCAAGAACTGAATGTCTCCTTTTACATCTATCTCCCTGGATATAGGAAAGCTGTGCAATTGATAGAATTTCATGCAATACTGATTTTACTTCTTGAATCGTCTTCTCCTCCATACACCCATCTCCTTTACTACTTTTTCCAGTATCTGTGTGAATACCAGTCAAGGTACCAGCACTCTTGATTAGCTCATGCCAACAGAACCTTCCTATAGGTTTCAGAAAAACTTAGGCTGCAGAAAGCCAACAGCCTGGAGGTGACTAGTTTTTCTTCTGAAATTCATCCTGGACTGAAATTAAAAAAAAAAACCAAACCAACCCAGAAACAAATAATATACAAATGTGGGGTGAGCTAAGGGAATGAAAAGTTAATCTTATGCATAGACATGAAAATTGGCTATTTCAAGAACCCCAACTGCCCCATGAGAAAAGCTGTAAGTTTATTTCACAAGCAAAGGAAATGTGCACTAATTCTGCTACCTTTTACACAGGGCTAATGTATTTGACCTCATAGTAACCAAGTTACTTCCTGAGGTGGCTGCTTGCGTGTGCATAATTGACCTGAAGTGGTAACTTCAGAATTTTGTCTTAAATTCCCTTCTTTAGCTGATTTCACCAGTGTACCCAGTTTCATAGAACAGACTCGTGACATGTGATGCTTTTCTTTCTTCACCTGCTTTCACAACTCAGCTCATACACATGTTGTTACCTTACACTCTATTCCAGATTTGAACACATTAGCTATTCCCCTCCTCACTTTTCATACCTAGAGAGCTCCAGATAAATTCTAGACTCCATGCATCCTGGGAAGGATTTTTCCCATTCCCAAGGAGTGCTTACAGAATAGGCTCAGCTCCTTTGGCTGGCCTTGGGTGCCACAGAGCTCAGCAAACTCCATGGTTTGGAATTCTTCCCATTTCTTAGTCTGGCAGGTACTGGGATTACAGAGCATCTAAAACTAACCATATGACAGCTTTATCTCTGCAACTGTCTTTGCTGTCTTTGCCCCAGTTATCTAGTTTATTTTCTAGAAAGAATTGCATCAAATTTCAATAAATACAGTTCTGACCATCTCCATTTGAGCATAACACAGAAGTGCCCTTTGTTAACTTCATAACTGGCAGTGAGGATATATGTGTAGAGAAGAAACACGTCACTCAGGGTCCCCTCACCTGTCCAAAACTCACTGGAAATGCACCACGTGGTTTCTGGCAGTGGCTTCTCACCTGGTAAAATGTAACAAATACATTTTATTCACATTTGGGATACTCGAACAGCATGAAACAACCTGAAAAGAGCATTCACTGGGCCACTGTAAGATTACCTATCAATTATGATTTTCTCTATGGAGGTAGCTGGATAGTTCTCAGTTTGCTCTCAACTGGGCCACATAGCTTATAATTGTCACTCCTATCTTTGTATTGACTGTGTGTTTTTACCTCATTAAAAAAAAATAAATCTGAATAAACATGAAACCAGCATGAAACTATATATTCTGGTTTCTTTGTACATTGCCCCAGGATGATTACAAAACTGGGAATGAATAACTGGGAGCCATAAAAGAAAAACTCCATCAGCAACAACAAAAGGTAGAAATAAGGTAAGCTCAAGGACACCTCAGCTTACATTCCTTAAGGAGAACCTGGCTGTGGCATGATGGTTTGGTCTTCAGTGTGCACATACACATGCACACACAGCAGTCAAACAGGTGCAATTTAGATTTGTGCAGAACATTGAAGGAAAGAGCTAAAATTAAAAGAGAGCCAGGAGCCTTTCTTTTTCTTTTTTGAAAGAAGAAATATGCTCAGATGAAGCACAAGACATTCTATCAGGAGTTCCCTTAAGCAACAAGAATTTTATTGACACTTCAACAAGGAGAAGCATTTCTCTGAATGACAGCTTTATTTAACCATTGCACAGCAGACATAGTGTAAAGTGGGTAAGAGAGTTTCTGTTAGTCTTTATAGTACTATCAAGATCAGAAGTCAATTAGAGTACTTCTTCTAATTGAAGAGACGAAATTATTTCCTTACTGCCTTGCATAGTGTGTCCTGTTTTTACGACAAATATTTATAGGATAAATCATTCTATTAGGAAAAGACATGATTCATTCTACCCTAGGCAGACGCAAGTGTAATTGTGAATGTGAAATTCATAGTTTCTAGCACTTGTAAATGTTTGCACAGAACTGCTTCCTGTTCCATGGCTACAAAAGTCTATTTTCCTGAAGACCCAGTTAGGTGGCCTTGAAGCCAAAGCTCGCTGACAATAACCATGCTATCACAGCTGCTGAAGTTAGGGTGGTAAATTTGCATGAGTGAGATGAGCAGAGCTTGACTGGTGATCAGAAGAACAAAGCTGTCAGACAACATGTCCTCAATATCCTGTGCTTTGGCTTTGCAAACCTGCAAACTCAGGACATTTGGACAACGTCATACCCTCTTTTTAATGGATTAGCACACCTACCAGCTTCATGATTTCTTCTATCTGATTCACTACCTTCAAGAATGTTGTCCCAGCTGCACATTAATGTTGTTGCTAACCCTTTTCCTTCTTTTTTTACCATTTTTTATGGAATTGTGGTAAAATGTCCATATCTATGTTTATCTTTCAGTTAAGCACAGTGTCTGCAGGGTTATAGGATTTACAACCAAGGTGAGAATTAGCGAAAAACTCAGAATATTTTTATTTTAAGTACTAAACAATTTGTTCATTCTTGCTTACTTCTTGCTGATGGAACTGACAACAAAGTATTTGTATTGTTATTTCGTCTGCTGATTGCTGAGAGAGCAGACTGACTGTGTCCCGAGCTCTCCCCCAGCTCCTTTTCCATGTCCTTGCTTCCTGGTAGTTTCTCCAGTTTAAGAAAGTGAAGGTACTGTGATTTGGGCCCAAAAGTTCTCCTACATTTTCTGTTGATTTAAGCATTTTTTCTTACTCCTGAGTATAAGTGTTTAGGGATAGATTCTCAGTATAAACTGGCAAAGAACCTCTGAGTGCTTCATAGCCATGCCAATTTACACAGCAGAGAATTTGATATGATCTCAGCAAAGGCAGCATAATGCTACACACAGAAGAAATTCAAAAGTCAGAGAGAGACAGACTGGAAAAAACACAAAAGAATGAGAGAAAAAAAAAACAGCGTATCAGAAAATCTGTTTTAATAACTCTGTAAGGGGACAGCTGTAAGTAGTTGTGGAAAAGACAGTGAAGTGTGGCAGGCTGAGTCAATCTGTCTGTCCCTTCGTGTACATGCAGGTGGAGAGTGCACACGATTCAGCTTCCTTGCTAATGCTGTGAGACAATTAAACAAGGTATCGGTCATTGTCTTCTATACTGTGAATATAACAGTATTCCTGCCAAGCCTTTCTGTTATGCCAAATGTGAGTTTGTTTTACAGTATAACTAGGAAAACAGTTTAATGAAAGGCTCACCATGCCATGACTACACATAAATTCAGAGGCACCATGTCCCACATTCATTAATACTTAGATTAGCTTAGACAGACCATCACCAACCTGGAGACCACTTGAGTCTGGTTTATACCTGTCATGTGTTCACACAGCCTATACCTAAATATTTATAGAGTAAAGCCAGTGTAGCCTTCAGTGTTTTTCTGTATTTCTATAAGCAAAGTTAATAAAAATGTGCCAGCAGGAAAAAAAAGAATAGGAAACTTCCCCTATGGTAGCAGGTAAAAATCACCCAATTTTTCATGAAGAAGGGAAAATCCTCATCAACAAGCCATGTATCTCTATCCGCACCCTCAAACTGCAGTCTGAAGCACCACTGTCTAATTCCAGAAGTTCTTTGGAAGTTGTCAAGCAAGCCAAACTGTAACTACAAAACCTGGCAGCCTTCAGTGATCAGAGGAAGAGGGCATGGAAGAGAAATAGCAATTATTTTGCACACCTGGAAAGCGTACAACTGCAGAAGCTGGACCAGAAGCAAAAGGAAGACTGTGCAATTCAGGAGAACCTGAGCACTCAGTAATAACTAAACTCCTGGTCATGCTAGCTTGAGGAATGAGTCAGGGTCTGGGGAAAAGATGAGTTATTCAACGTATATTTAAAACACAACTTATTAAATGCCTCAATGCAAAGCAACATTCAGGTCTTCAATTTTCTCCTGGATTTACTAAACAAAGGACATCTGGTCAGTCAGTAACCACTGGAGATACAGTTACACATACAGGGACAGACAAAAATGAACCCTTCCCCTGCCCAGTTTCTGCCCTGGCCAGAAATATGACATTTCAAACCATGAAATACCAAATAACCAGTGCCTGTACAAATGCTGGCAGTAACTGCTATTCACTATATTGTGCAGGGCTACAGTAAGTTGCATCGCCCATAACTGTAATTTCTTCTGTCTGATATTATTTGCATCACAAAAAAAAAAATGCACTTGTTTAGTGCACCAGTCTCACATTCATAAATACCTTAGAAATGCAATACAGGATAAATTATTTAATCAGATAAAAAAGTGGAGAGAAAGCTGTGCTTAACAGATTTACATAGTTTTTTGAGAACCAGTCATACAAAATAATCCTTCAGATACAGATGCAAAGTGTTACAGGAAATGTCATCTACATTATTTGGATAAGAGTCTATATTGTTATGTATATCAATGTACATATAAAGGAACATACATATCTCTGAATGGAGGCTCCATTTTTCCACTTTTGAGGAAAGCATAGTTTCAACAATAATGTTTGATCTCCCTGGTGACAGAGCTATTTACAAAATTAGCAAGATAAAACCACCTGGAGCTTTCTGTATTTACAGAAAATAAGCTTGAGATTCATTGAATTTCTCACGGAAGATAGCAT